CAGCGCGAAGCGTGTAGTGGGGTACTGCACCCGGTCTTGTGGCGTCCGCAGAATCGTACTTTTCCCACAGCGCGGAACGTGTAGTAGCTGATGTGTCGTTGAAGTTTTACATGAGATTTTCATGCATGAGAGAACATATGGAAGCTTGAATGTGCGGTCGCAAACCAATCCTGACATCACCATTCCGAGATGTGCATCGTGCTTTGCCAAGATGATCCTACGGAAGGGAAACCCTCGAAATATGAGGTTTATCGGAGCAAGTAGCAGGAGAAGTGGTTGTAGACTGCTTCTGATTTTCTGTTGACAGCGCTCTCACAAAAAAACCGTGCCCCTTCGTCAATGTTGCAAGAACTTGTGCGGAACATGTTCTGTAGACGTTCGGAACCTCTTCAGTAATGCTTCCGGCATCACACAACCTTGACGATGGGGTCAAGGGGAGAAAGAAAGCTCAACGGCACCAGTCTAGGTCTGCGGAAGAAGACTCTTGAAAAGATCAGAGCAAGTGTGCAGCAGCCTGCAGAGTTTGATGTGTTTTTCAAGCAAAGTTTGCGCTTGCAGGCTCAGCAAGCATGGTGGCAACGGTGGAGGCAGTTGCAGTCTCAGACTCAAAGCCGAATTGAGAAGCCTTGAGCCTGCCCTAAAGCCTTCTGGGCTGTGTGTAAATGCAAATTTTGTAGATCCGCGCCACCAATGATGGCCACAGGTTGACGAGCAAACTTAGACGGAGCTTGTGACACATGTTCGTGGAAAATAGGAAGACATAGAATCAAATCTTTGTCAAAACCATGGATTCAACGTGCTAGAAAATGGAGCCGAATTCTAGNNCAGTGCAGTTGCGGAACCTGAATGTGTTCGATGTTCATAGCTTAAGCTACGCAATATTGTTGTTGTCGTTGTCTATGAATCTGCAGCAGCTCAAGCTGTGCTGTTGGATGGAGTGGCTGCGCAAGAAAAGAGACACATTGTGATCATTTTTTTGGGAGTTGAGAATTCAAAAAAAGGGTGAGGAGCG